TTTTTATGTACGTGCCCCGTGACGTGTCGATCGGCCTGTCAACCTGTTTCTCATCGACGCCTCTCGCTCTCATCGGTGCTCATTTACGCGGCGCTTAATAGACAATCAAGTGGCCGAGGCGGCCGAGCAAATTGTTTCGATCGACTGCCGCTTCCGGCGACATTCGAGGCCGCGGATGATTGCCTCGTTTACTTCGCTTTCGTCACTCGATTATTTTTCCCCGGTCCTGCAAACGTCGTCCTGACCTCGTGCCCGTATTCGTCATCGATCGATGACAAATCGTCGAGAGGATTCAACGAGGGAAGATGAAAGAACGCGCGAGAACGCGGGGGGACATCAACGGGACACCCGCTCTTGAGACTCGGATCGTTCGAGCTACTGCTTTTGATTATAACCGCAATATCGCATTGTTCACCGCAAAACCACGGTTGTCGTGCCACATAAAGTTGACACCTACTTACAGTAACATTACATTCGCCACCGTAGCGTAGAAACCCGCCGCAAATATTACGCGATATTACGTATCCTTCTCCCGTTACATTTCCCAGGCTTCCATCTTTGAAGCGACAAATTTAATACATTTCTAATACCCAATATCTTTTTTTTCAACGATCACCTGAGGAAAAGATGGTCTCTTCCTATAAATATTTTAATACTTATTTAAGTCCCTCATGGTAGATTCGGTGATTTCAGGAGTTGCATTTAAATGATAAATGTCCACTATAAAAATGAATGAAATAATATACGTCTATGTAACAATGTTCCAATTATATATATATATGCATACAGAGAGAGAGAGAGAGAGAGAGAGAGAGGGAGAGAGAGAGAGAGAGAGCAACGCAATCAATTCACTTAAAAACAGCATATTTACTGTTTGTTGAATATACATATATTTGGCAAATAATTGCATTGCTTGATCTGCTGTCGCTTTAATGGAAATGAAATGAAAACAAAAAAGTAATATGAATGCAATAGAGGCAGCTCGTTCGATCGTTTGCGAGAATCAGTAGTTCGAGTACAATTCAAGCAACGCAGTAGAATAATGCGTCGGACAAGAGCGACAAGTAGTCAAAGCTCGCAACGTCTGCCCGCGCGGAGAAGCGAATCCTCCTTCTATAACTGACAGAATATTTTGCTCATTCTAAACAGTTGTGTATTTATAGGAATTTTTTTGAAACCAAGGAATAATAGAGAACAAGGTTTAGAAAAAAAATAATGTTTTTGTCATATAATATTTGTGAAAACAAAATACAATTTAATGCGTATCGTCCCCTTTTCCGTAACTCTCATACTTAAAACTAATTAACTTCAAGATATGAAATGAAATAATCTGTCTATCTAAATAAGCATTAGAATTATACGAATTAATTAAACGTGAAGGATATACCTGTAATTAGATTAAACCGTAAAACTGCTCGACCGTTTTATGGTACTTAAGATAATGAAGTAAACTACTATCAAACTGGAACAGAGAGAGATGGCCGTTTATTCAGTTAATGGCAAGCATTTCACACAATCTACACCATGTAATCTCGCACTTAGTCGCTAAACAGAAAAGCCGGAAGCAAAGTATTCCCGCGGATTATAGGTTTCAGTGAATTAAAAGAACTGCCACGGGTTTTTATTGATCCGAGCCGCGTTAACCGCTTAATATCGAACTTATAACCCAAGTACAATAAACTTCTCGAATTATGCAACGGGTCATAAAAGTGGATTATTTATTTTTTTACGCACAAAATTAAAAATTGCTCTTTAGAAAATTGATCAGCGATTAAATCTTCGAATTTTTAATCAACTGTCATAATTAGTCCTGAAAAAGATAAAACGCTTTCTATCTCAATTTCTTTTCGTAAAATAAGAACATCTTTCTTTCGTCTGATTCTGGAGATGAAATCTGATGTGTTTAACTTAAAATTAGTTCTTTATTGTTATAGGAAGTTATAAGAAAGCACCGCCAACGTTTAATCAAACATCAGAAGGAGTGCATTTAATTTTTACTTTGCTTCATCTTTTTGCAATTTTATATGACTCTCTTTATCTACATATTTATGAAGATATCAATGCGAGAGAATATACGCATTTAAATATCGTGTACATTATAACGACTGATTTATTGAAATCGAACTAAATGCATCCAAGATGCTAATATATATTTTTTGTATAAAGTACGAATATAAAGTGCATTATTATAATTTTATTAATGTCAAAATTAATGTCTCTATAAGAAAAAACAATCGTGTTTTTTTTATGCATTAGAGTTAGATTTACAAAAAAAAAAAAAACAAAATCCGTAAAAGTTATAAACACACATTTACAGCAAGTAGTTCAAGGAAAGATATACAGTTTGACATTCCCTGGCCCGCCCTTGGTTCCGCTAGGATTAAACATCGATGGGTCAAGGTCTCCGCCGCTTTGACACGTATATACACTCTTGTGTGAAATGTATCTCAAAACTTCCAAAATTGAAACCCTTCAGTCCCGATTTCCCATGCAACATTGAATTAGCCGCGCGGTATAATCGGAATTCACAAACGCACGAGTGTAATAGCGCGCAGTTCCACTATTGTTTTCGTTATTAAACGCGTATTTTCGTTTTCCCGAAATAAGCATCCCCGCGATTCGGGGGGTCCCGCGAGAGAGAGAGAGAGAGAGAGAGAGAGAGAGAGAGAGAGAGAAAGAGAGAGAGAGCGAACGTGCGCGTACTGCGTAGTACATAAGAATTTATTAAATTCTTTATACGGGACCTCGATTAAATTGAGGGTCGACCTCGGTGTACCCGAGGGTCGTCCTCCACGGATGGGGGATTCAGGAATTTCGGCTCGCGGATATCTGGGACTTCGATTTCAACGACGACGAGCCGCAGCGCGAAACGCGATCACGGCGGGACAAGAGGAGGCGCGACGAGGAGGAGCGGCGAACTACGACTTTGCAGTGGCAAACGTGATACAGAGGCTCGAGGTCCGCATTTCGCATTCGGTGCTGCGACGTGCTCCAACCCGCGCCCATTGTCCTCGCGCGCACAATGGAGATCTTTCTGACGCGCGGCGCGCTTCCCTCGGCGCTTGTTGCTCCGATGGTCGGCTGACTAAACTTTGCCCGGACGTCGCCGCCGCCGCCGCCGTTGCTGCCGCTGCCGCTGCCTCACCACGTGCAGTGCACGTCCCGCCGTACGCTCTCCTCCTCTTCCTCCTCCTCCTCCCTCCCCCCCAGTAATTTCCCGCACAAACGGATATAGGCGCTCCAACCGTATACGCGCCGGGAACCAGAGGGGGGGATCGGCCGCCGCGAGAGGGTGAGGAAAATGCGCGACGAGATGGAGAATGGGAACGCCGCTGTGCGGAAGAGAAAAGGGAGAACCAGCTCCACCGCCACCGCCGCCGCCGCCGCCGCCGCCGCCGCCGCCGCCGCGCCGAGAGAGGAGCGAGATAGGAGAGAGAACTGTGCCACTGTGGAAAGCGGCTACGCGCGCAGTAGGATTCGCCTGGGGATAGGTCAATCAATGACCTATTTAAGGTGTCTTCAGACTAGTCTCCCTCGGCGCCCGCCGCGCCGCGTTTGCCGCACTCGATCGGGGCTACTAGCGGCGACAAATACTCCGCCCGGCGTGGCGGAGAGCCTGCATTCAACAAATGAGGCGGAAGTGCTGCACGTTCGTGAGGCGTGAGAAGTTTCGCAAAAACAGAGAAAACGATCAAGCGAAGAGTTTTCCATATTGAACACGTCGCATACAGGGGGGGGGGAGGAGGGGAAGGTGATTAATCACCTTTAGAAAGTACGGATGAAACCTTCGAATTTTTACTCGCTAAAATATCATAATCATGCCCTGATAAACTTCTATCTTATCTTTCAAGAAAGACATTTTTCTTAGCCTAATTTTTTTCCGTAAAATAAACACGTGTTTTCTAATCGCTTGATTAGAAAAGAAATTTGAAATTTTTTTTTAAAGATAAAATCCAGATAAAATCTACAATTTGACGTTAACCTTTGATATTATGTCACGTTAAATCCCACGTTAAACAGCCCTGCAAACTTTTAATCGAACGTCAGAAGGGGCGCATAATTGATTTTCATTTTAGTTCGTGTGTATTTTTACGATTTTATTCTCTTTATCTATAAAGATCTATAACCGACGCGAAATAGTATTGACGTTAGCTGTCAACCCATTAATGTATACGTACATTATAACGTCGGTTGATTTATTGAGATATCGAATCAAACCCCATCGCACATTCTGTATAAGTGCGAATATGTAAAAAATCCCGCAGCCGTCGATAATTTGTTCAGCTGGATAAACACGCGTTGTGCCACGGTATCGCCTTCCATCTAATCTTATTTGATAATACGCTGCACATTGCACAGCGACTTAGGAAAATCAACAAATCCTGATAGCTACGGCGAATGCTGACGCACGCGCAACCTTGTGTAGTCAGAGAGATGAAATAAATTCCTAATGAAGATCGACTGGAACAGTTCGCATCAGCTTACCACGACCATGAAAAGCGAATCTGTATTCGTAAAATGTACACAAAGATGCCTCCCTCACAAAAGCTACCGTAGAAACTCGATATCCAATAATCGCTTCTAATTCTGTTTTGGACAAAGATTTATCGGGCCTATTAAAATATATCATAGTTAATATAAACGTCAAAAATCGTCTGCGAAACGTTTTAATTATTGAGAAATGTCATGAAAACGTGTAAAATATGTTCTGATTTGTCTTTTATGTTATAAAAGCACGTCTAATCTTCCAGATATTCTTCAGAAATCTAAGAAACGGATTCTAATTTCTTAGATTTTATACTAAAAATGTTTAAGACATATTTAAAAAAGTAATCTCCTAATTGTATTTTAAAATTCCTGTAAATTATTTTTAGAAATATTTTAGATTTTTATGCCGATTGGAGCGCAATGTACGAAATCGTGTATGTAGGTCGATATATATATATATGTGCTACAAAGCAGAGTTTACCATACCCAGCTGAGAAGTACCAAAAGGATATGGATTAGTAATCAGCGCGAGACACCAGTTGCGCGGTCGTGTGGTCTGGTCGAGATATCTGAGAGCGATCGGAATGAAGCCTGGATAGGGTAGACCCTCGCCCTCCTCTTCCTCGTCCTCGTCGTCGTCGTCCTCGTCGTCGTCGTCTTCATCGTCGTCGTCGTCGTCCAGATCGTTCTCATCATCCTCGTCGTCCTCCTCTTCGTTCTCCTCGACCGCTCGCCTGTTGGCGGACACGCGAGCCCCATCCTCGTCCTCGTCGTCCTCGAGGTCGCTGAGCTCCGCCACGTCACTGTCGGAGCCCTGCTCGCCGACCCCGGTCCCGCTGATCGCCTTCGACGCGGATCGGTACCGGTATCCCTGAGGATAGTGCAGCGACATTCTCGTGAACCTCGGGTGCCTCTCTCTCGCGAACGCGGCGTATCTCCGGCGCCTGGAAAGGTGGCCTTCAACGACGTCGCGGCCTCCTCGGCGCCCGGGGCTGCGTGAGGCGACGATTCCGGGACTCCTCGAACGCTCGGGGGGAGATTCTCATCGCCCGATCTTGCTGAACGGTTCGGTCTTCCTTCCCGCACGCGCGCCACTCGCTCTTACGACTAATCGCACGAACGATCGGTCGTTCTCGGCAGCGTCATCGGGGACGCTCCGTGCTCTTGATTCGTCGCGTCAATCCCTTCGTCGCGAATAACGACGACGACCGTCTCCTTCCCCGATACACTCGACGTCTTAATCCCGACGCTCGACGCAGGCAGCTCCGCACTGTCGCGATCGACGTAGCGAACGAGCTGTGCCCGCCGATCGCATCTTACATCGGAGCCGTGAAGATAGCGATGCGGAGTTGCACCTCCCGACGCGCCTGCCCGGTGATGATTCCTCTCACCTGCGCTTCTCACCTGGGGACGTGACGAGCGCGCAGTAACCTTGCCCCGGTATCGCGATGTCCCCCGGAGGATGCGATCGCGCCGCGATCCTCACCACGAGGTCACGCAGGGGATACCGCGAGATCCTCCGCGAGAAGGAGAGAATCCCCGACAGCGCGAACGTCTCGGAAGTTCTTGGAAGAGGAGCACGTGAAGCGCGTGGCCGAGGACTGATTCACTGCACCACCACCACCACCTCTTCCACTTCCTCCTCGCTCTCTTCTTCCGGGTATGCTCCACCTGGCCGTATCCTCTCTCTCGTCAGGTGCGGGGCTTATCGACCGCGACGTTGGTCGCGCGGACACGAGGGCACTAGGCGCGGGCTGTTGTCCGCGAGGCCGAGCGTCGAGCGCGGACGTATGGTGCGGTGGTGGTAGCCAGCAGCTTGAAAGCCGCGCGAACGCGGCCGTGTTGCACGACGACGACGGTGCCCGGCGCAGCGTCGACCGGTGACTGAAAAAAACGTCGAACATCCTCTACCCGACGACGGTGGCGGACGCATGCGCGACCCCCGGTGTGTGCGTGTCCCTCGCCTCATCCGCGTCTCGCGACCTCCAACACACATCCTCCCCCAGAGAAAATCCGGAGATCTTCCTACTCTTTCCCACCTCTTCCCGGCCTCGCGCATCATCTTCGCCTTCTCTCTTTCGCCGCCTCTTCCTTCTGCTTTTCCTCGTCCTTCTCCATCATCCCTCGGTCGACCGAGGAACACCTTCACAGTTGGTACTCGACGCGGGTAAAACGGAGAGAAAGAAAGAGAGAGAGAGAGAGAGAAATCGGGGGATGGAGAAGTGACTGGAGAGGATCTGGCGCGAAGTCCTTGAGATCCTCGCTTTCACTTTCGGTGTCGACCAAGTGACACTCTACCTTTTTCTCGCCATTATTTGTGCAAAAGATGCTGCCTTACTTCGAACTTCACATCCGTATCGATGCCCGGCTAATTGATAACCCAGGGGTGATCGGCATCGCGTGATCTCTTTGGCACGGGAAAGGTAATCGAACGAAAGATAAATATACGGCGAAAGAAAAGTTTCTTTTTTCGGGTCGCGTTTGATTGCAGCAGGAGGTGAGGAGAAAAAGGGAGCGACGGTAACACCGAGGGTGGATTTGATGGATGACTATTCGACGACACATCGCGAAGGGTTGAACTTCGTTCGATAAAGGGGCGAGAATAAGAAATCACGATGATTTTATCTACAGTGTCTGAAATTCAACGTTTTGGAAATAGCAATCTTCGGAAAATATTTTCCAAGTATTTCCTGTGCTTGTGCGCTGAAAGAAACTCTCGTCGGAAATAATGTATCAAAAATAGAAATGTTCTGCAAAAATAGAAATGACCACAGTTAACTTTTTCTCTTCCGTAAAGATATGCAGCTCACATTGCAACAATATACATACTATTGGATTCTAAAAGATTATTGTTGATACTATTAATAATTGATATATGAATTATTAATATGCATATATATAATTAATTATTATAACGTCATAATGTGTGATATGTAAAAAAACCAACGCATATTTTTGCTTTAATTTACGTCAAGTTTATTTGTCCAAGACATCCAATGATATATGCATATATAACTTATGAGCTTTGAAAAGAAACAACGGCAAATTATAGCGATAATTATGCTTCACTTATTGAATTCGATGCGACAAATTAAATACAGAAATACAATATTATAAAGTATAAGTACAGTAAACAACCATATACATATATAATACTCGCACAATTAACGAGTAGAAAACAGTAATTTTTCACTCTTTAGAGCCACTATTTTCAAGCAAAGGCCTCAATGGTACGACGGAGTCCGAGAAACATCATAACGATTGCTGAGACTAACTCCCTATGCGCTTCGTCTATTTTTGCTCGGAAGTTCGGAAAACGGAGAAGGAGCGGGCCGCGTGTGTATCGCGCTGTTACACGATTTCTCGAACGGTAGAACGACAAGGTAGCGGTGATAATCAACCGCCGGATACTGGATACGCGATTAAAGTCAGCGCTGTGTCCGGAAACGATCAAACTCGTTGAAGATTACAAACGCGCCGTCGTCGGCCTTAATCGACTCCGCGTGCGCAGCCGAAAATAGAAACCCAACCACGCGCGTTCCATGCTTGCCGTTCGGTCATTTCAAGTGGCTGGCATAATTTGCGGCATTTGATGTTTCGCGAAACACTCTTCTCGGGAGGTTAATGATAAGATATAGCTAGGGGAAAAAAGCAGGAGAGAGAAAGAAAGGGAGAGAAAAGAGATGCTCCTATCTCTTTTCTTGCACACTTGCAGTATTTTATTCAAAATCAAGATAAATGCTTACAATGCAATATATAGGTGCTGTATAGGAACGTTGGATTTTTGCGTTGCTGTTTATATATCGCACCAAATACCTACAGTCATGTATTTACTTTATTCAGCTGCGACACATTATCAATCCGTTCGTGTTTATGAATACAACAGAGCGGTTGACTCACGATATTACAGCGACTGAGTGTACCGAGCTATAAGTTAAATAATTGAATTATTTAATATAGTAAATCGTTTTAGGTAAAAACGCGGAAGATGTGCATCGCAATCTTATAATGCTCAGTCTTGCCATTTATAATTGGGAAAATCCCTCCTTAATTCGAAAATGAGGTAGTTACGACTTGAAATGATAGAAATATGTACCTTCTATATTTTTATTTTGCTAATGATTAATTTATTTAGCAACAACGTGCTGTCTTGTTCCTCATTTCAAACACTCTTTCAGATATGAGACATACATAATTTAGAATCTCACGTTGATAATTTAGAATTTCAAACGTCTCTTTGGTGTTTGCTTTTTTCGCTGTATAAATCTGGACAGAAGAACTGAAATATGTCAAGGGCAACTAAAGTTTCGTGAGAATTCTATCGTTAGCGATAAGAGACACGCACTTCGGATATTCGATTTTAATCTCATTTATGAAGACGCAATCGGACTGATAGATTTGTTACCGAACGTGCACAGAATACGTTCAGCTTTATTCCTGAGCTCACTGCGATCTAAATAGATCGCTAGCCGTAGAAGATTGAAGCATACGATTGAATTACTGGACAGCTTCGTGCCGTCGTGAGCTGCAACAAAAGACATTAGATGTTAATACGACATTTTTATTTATAATTTATTAATTAGAAATATTAACGTTCGCTTATCTTTGAACGTAATACCCACACCATGTTGAAGACCTGCATGTATGTCGATATAACAACCGAGTGTAATGAGACGTTCAGCAGACGGTGCTGTAAATATTTAGGTATGATGATCTTTACGGCAGAATGCGGCTTTGCTTGGCTTCGTTTACTTGACCTAACTGCCGTGACTATGCGCATTAAAGTACCCGGTGTTTAATGACCAAACTAAAATTACCACAAGAGCAGCCGAGCGTACTGTCTTTCATCCGTAGAATCATCGGAGAATCCTCAACTGCCGTCCTTCGATCGAGATTCCAGAACAATCGGCGCAGTAAACATCTTGCAGTTGCATCGTCCGATGAATTTGATCCAATGCGATCAAAGTTGGCTTCGCACAACTCGAGCAACTCCTTCGTAAAGGAACGCACAAGCATCATATTGAGACGATAAGTTATACCATACATTTCACATCATGACAATGATACAGAGATAAGATAATATACTCACGTACAATTTTAGCGTCCTTTCCGCAGCTAATAAATAGCACGCCTTTATATCTATCAAATAAATATCGTCCCACAGCAGCATCCACCTCTAATATATACTTCTCATTTTTCACAGCTGTTCCAGCATGCGCAAAGTCACTTATCATATAAGATCTATATAAACAGATCACGGATCGTTAGATTTTGCGAAAGCGCGCATCACAAAATCCATCACAGCAATGATGACACGAATATCATTCATCATGATTCATTATTATTCATTATGCTGTGACGATCTTATCGTTCAAGTAAAGTCGCGATTTCCTCAATCTTTCTTTAAAGAATATCTGACATCTTCCTTAATAGAATTTTTTTTGTATTCTCTATTCTAATATCAAAATTTGATTAGCGTTAACTTTAACTCCTCTGCGTGTAAAAACATTTTTGCCTGTGAGCTTGTCTGAAGCCAGAAATAATATCGTTTAGAGCGAAGCTTACCGAAACAAAATATACATTTCTATGTAAAAATCTTTCTGTGTAAAAAAATGTAAAAGTAAGATTAAGTAAATGCAATGTTCTTAATAGAATTATAAAAATATTCTCATAACTCTGTTATAAAAATTATTATTTAAGTTTAAACGAGAACATTATAAACATCTCTTGTCAGATTTAAAACTATTGCGTTTGTATTAATGATAAAAGAATTATGTGATTTTTCATTTTTAAATAGCTATATTAAATAATCACCCGTGTAACAAAACCATTCAGAATTTTGTTTTATATATCTTTTCTTATTGTTTTACTCATTTACGGTATAGAATTCATTCTTAAAGTTTGTAGATCTTTCGGCTACCTCCTTTATACAAGATGTTCAAAAAATCGCTATTTCTCGTTATATCTTATAAAATAAGGATAACTTAAATAAAAACGTTCTGTAATGTTTTTATTACATATCTATAATTATGAAAAATATTATACAAATATCAAAACACAACTCTAACAAATATAACTTACAACTTATTGTATACCGTAACTTTCTTTATGTATATCTATATTTATAAATCTTCGTCGACGATTGATTTTGGAATATCTAATCTATGAGATGTATTTTGAATAATTGTCGACACTTCGCGTACGCTGGTTGATAGATACTTCCACGAGATTTTCTTAGACGCATTTTATTCTACACACATTTATCTCCAGTATTTTTAAATTTCTTTATTACATAATCCATTTTTATTACATTGTCCATTTTTATATAATTGTGCTATAAATCTTTTCCTAATTGCATTATATGTCATATTTTCGATCTCATATATCACAATGTAACACGATCTTGCATGTACATTTAGCTAAAATAGTAGAACCTGAAAAAAAATAAAATCACAAAGTTATAACATAAAATTTAAGACAAGTGTAAAAATCCTTTTTTGTACGTATTTTTATATATAAGATTATATAAAAGTAAAAAATCTTTTTTATAATTCTCTTTATTTCGCGAGATTAACATTTTTTTTAGACATTATACGTATTATAATATTTGTGTTTAAATTGTTTTAATAGGCACATAAAATATTTGATTTCGTTATATACAATATTTTACGTATTTATTTCAATAATGTTAATTAGTATTATTATTACATTTATTATTATATTTATAAACTTATAGTACAAGGACATATTAATTCGTAATAAGCTTAAAGCTGATTATAAATTTACAACACAAAATTATTTAATAACTTTTAAAATCATCGAATACAGGTTATATGTGATTTCAAAGTGATGTGTTCTGGATCCAACTACACTGTTACATATAAATTAACTTAATGACAATATAAAGTACTCACTTATAAAAAATATACTGTGGCTATAGCCTGCACAATCATATTTACATTACACATTTTCGTAGCATTTGTTACATTACAAATAATATTGTGCCTATGATCAATAACGATGTATAACCTGTCTTGACCAGTGCTTTAGGGGATGCAGAGGGATGTTCTCACATGCGCAGTAAAGCAAGTACTAGCAGACCTCAGTCACGTATATTCCGTTTTTGAATGATTTACCTCTTGATTTTCCAACTGCTTCTTACATTGTCTCACTATTCGTTGGCAATATGTTTGTAGCGAGCTAGGATTATTATAATTACTTACGTGTATAATAAAAAATAAAGCTTGCATTAAAAAAAGAATGATCATGTAAATGATATATCTACACTCATCCTCATTTACATTTGCCATCCCACATTTATCTTATCATATTTTACTTTCTTGAGAATTCTCGCCATGCTAAAAAAGATTAACAATTTGACCGCTAAGATTCGTGTGCAATCATGTCTCAACAATGAAAAATTGCGTGGTAATGTGGTTATTAACAAGAAATAAATATCTAAAAATAGTGGAATAGCTTCGTGTGATTAATTCGTGATTAATGATCGTTGATTAATTAAATACGAGATTTGGTTCGAAAGAACAAGAGACAAGGAGACAAGGAGAAGATAGTAGACGTAATTAAATTGTTTTCTTAGCTGTAAATGCGCCTATAAAACATGAATTTATAAAACACTAAATATTACGAGATTATAACAATTCATATATATTCTATAACGCATATTTTGGTATTTAATTTTTACTTCTTATAGGAAATTATTTTGAGGCACGAAAAACAAGAATTGAAAAACGTGGACGTATTGTTATCCGTTGAAAATATATTTGTGGACGTAGAGTAACTGTCACTATTAGTGTGCCCTGTAACTATTAGTGTGCTTTTATATTTAAATAAGTCATAAAAATAAATTGATACAAATAAATAAACAAAGTATTTTTTTATTAAGTTAATATTTTGACTTTTATAAATATTTAAATATAAAAGCACACTAATAGGTACAGGGCACACTAATAGGGACAGTTACCCTAGCTACGTAGTTCAATATTCACGTTTTGTGCACGTTGAAGCGCTAGTAGATTGGCTTTACTTAAAATGCGAGCATGTCAACTTTCAGGGCATGTCTTCTTAAAAATAATTAAAAAATATTTACATTATCGATTATTAATATGCAATTCTCGACTGTTAATATCTGAACAATTAGTTAATTATTATTCTACTTTGAAGTAATTAAATTTTAGCAAACACATGAACTTTATCGTAAGATTATCGGTCTTTAATAGTATTGTGTTATTAGAGAGAAACCTGAGAGAGGACATGACGGCTTTTTGATTGTTATCTAAAAATGCTCTCGTGCACTAACATGCCCCCTGAAAAAGTGGATGTAAACTACATAGCAACATTCACTTTTCTGCACCGCGGGTAACGTTCTGCGGTAACACTATACACTTTTATTTGTAAATTTTATAATGAGACAAAATAAAAAAATATAAAAAAAGCACACATTCAAAAGAAAAGAGGACCGCCGATTAGAGTCGGCGGGGGTGGTGGAGCCTCTACAGGTTGATTCATTTTTACTAGATAAAATTTTAATTTTAGAGATTTTAGAGAGTTTATAATATAAAAATCAATATTTTAATCATAAAAGAATGCGAAGTCAAATTAATCTAATATGTACTTAATTGCAATGATATTCGGTAAGATTGGAGCAACCTTATTAAAATAAAACCGACCACCGCCGACTAGAGTCGGCAGGGGAAGAACTTCTACAGATTGATTTGCTTTCATCGTATAATAATTGTGTTAAGATAAGTGAATGTTGCTATGTAATTTACATCCACTTCTTCAGGGGACGTTAGTGCACGAGAGCATTTTGAGATAACATGCAGAAAGCCGTCATGTCCTCTCTCAGGTTTCTCTCTGGTATTATTCAAGTTATAGTTGCAAATTTATTCAGCACAAAAAAATAAATAAAGATAAATATTAGTGTAATTTTATTAATAAGATTTTTTAATCCAAATTTTAATTATTTACTTACAAATCTTTATATCGCTGATTTAAAAGAAAGATAATATATCTTCTTAAATTCCTATATTTGAATATTTATCAGTAATATTAACCACATTTTTTAAATAAATATATTTGCTGTATAAAAATCCAGCTGTTTGTGCAGTTTTCTTCAAATGTGCACATAATTTAACAAATTTTGCATTTTACGCATTTCAGTTTTATCATCAGAAACAATACAGTTGCCGTTGTTATCGGAACTTCACTCTGTTACTTGTGTGCTTGAGATAGATAACGCCACTGCTAAATTGTTTGATCGCAATGCGCTTTCCTAGTCAAAGATCAATTTTTTAAAGAAACAAAAAGTGAAGCTTTTACTTAACATTTAAAAATTGTCAAGCTAATTTTTTTTATTTTGTATATTAAATTGTATATATCCGATAATAATAAATATATCAATGGATACTTAAAATTAAGAAATAAAATCAAAAATTTTAAATCACAGATGTAAGGAGTCCCTTTCAAATTCATTTAATGTAAAAATAATAACAATTTTTATAAATTATAGCGAGAGATGAAATTTATAATTCTAATAAATGTAAGCTATGCACATATACACTGAAATTAAGATTTTAATAAGAGACTGTACTATGAGAAATGACTATTTTAGTCATTACAATATTTCCATTACAATAATAAAAAAAAAGTTAAGATATATTAATTAACAAACTCGTCAATTAATAAAAAATTTAATAAAAAATTGTATATTTTTCTCATTTAAATATACAAATATATCTATATTTATTAATCAATATTTTGAAACATGATTTAATTCCGTTTATGTAAATATATTTACTTCTCGTATCGACGCAGTAATATTTGTGATAACGGACAAGATCTCAGGAATTAACTAGATTTTATTTTCTTACAAAAATGCGAGCTTTTGGTTAAATAATCGCGCGCCTTTCAGCGCGCGCACCCCCGTTGCGCCTCATGCAAGCACAACCCCCGTTACTCCCGCAAGTAGTTGTGTCCGTTTAGCGCAGCCGCGCGTGGCGCCCCCGCAAGTATCGCGCCCGTACCAGTTTGGCCGCGTGGGGTGGTAGGGGATAGGCTGAGAGCGAGAGAGCGTGCGTCTACGTCAGGAAAAGCTCCGAGCTTATTGGTCCTGGTCCATTGTTGCGTATTGATTGCTGTGGAGCAGTGGTATGGTCGTCGGGACACTCGGTCGTCCTCGTCGTCGTCGTCGTCGTCGTCGTCGCCGTCGGTGGTGCTCAGCCGATTAGGTTAAGAGGAGCGGGCGCGCGCGGACGCACGGATATAAGGGAGAAGAGAAAGAAGAGGAAAAAATAAAACGGTCGTCCGCGTCGTTGTCGTCATCGCGCATCGTTCGCTCGCGTTTCGTTCGCATACGCGATCGCGACCCGCGCTTGCTACGTCCGCACCGCTACACGCACTTATACTGTTAAAAAAAAAAGTAATAAAAAGAATACAATTGTATACATATATATGTGCATATATATGTATACATAAATAAATACATATAAGAGAGGGAGTATATATAAATATAAGCGAGGAGAAAACGGGAAGAACACGTCTCGCGTACTTGTGTGCATTCGTACGAGCGCGCGTATGTGACACGCGGTAGTCAGTGCGTTCAGTGAGAGTTGTGTCTCCTGCCTGTTTCCCTATTGCTCCGGCCATCCCTTTCGATCACGGACTCCAACTGGAAGCGATACACACCTGCGGCATCAGTGGCGGCGGCGGCAGCGGCTGCCGCCGAGGGTGGTGAGAGCGAATCAACACGGCGCAAGCCCTCGGATCACCAGGATCGGGTGTTCGTGGCTGGTTTACTGCGCGTACCGCGATAGCTGCGTGGACAGGAAAGCGAAGCGCCTTCGCTGAGGACGCCGTTTTCGGAATTCGGTGATTCTAGCGTGTCCAGCAGAGACGTATATACATTTGCCTCGGGGTAGACTTGTGAAGGGGATAGCGAATCCTCAGTCGGACAGTAGTGAGTCGATCAGAACGATGCTGATCGAGTGATTCTTTATTAAAAGGTGCTTGAGAATAAGCTAAAAGGCACTTTTTTGGGGGGGGAGGGGGCGGCAAACAAGTACAGACTTTATTGGACGACATTGAAGAAAGATTGTAATAGGGTGATAGAAAGAGACGGCGAGATAGAAAGAGAAAGAGAAAGAGAGGGAGAGAAAGAGGAAGAGAGAGAGGAGGGGAGAGCAAGGAAGAGTGTGAGAGGTGGTGAAAGAAAGAGAGAGAGAGAGGGGGGGAGGTTGAGAGGCTGAGAGTGGAAGACGAGCTCTGAGTGTCAGCGAGTGTGCGTGGCAGGTGAGCAGAAACGAAGAAGGAAAAAAGAGATTCGGTGATTTTCTCTTTGAACTCAGCGCACGTTCGCAAAAGAAGAAAAGAGGAAGGAAGAAGCTCGCGGTAGCTGCATATCGCGAGGACGCGGGCCGTGCACACGGGTCCCTCTTAGCGCGTGTCGCGCATCTCCCGGGGGCGGCGCGAAATTATGAAGCGCATAAAGTGCGTCCTACTGGCTGCCGCAGCTGCCGTTTGTGATTGTGATAGTCGCCGGTGAATGTGTGACCCGGGGGCAGCAGAGATCCGCCGGGATGACGACCGAAGGGACGACCGTGCAGCCCCCGGTAGACTGCCTCAAGGAGCGGAAATGGTGGTGCTTCCTGCTGTCGAGCATCTTCACCTTCCTCGCCGGACTGCTGATCGTGCTTCTTTGGCGTGCGTTCGCCTTCCTCTGCTGTCGCAAGGAGCCCGAGCTCTCTCCAAATGACCCGAAGCAGAAGGAGCAGAAGACGGCCCGGCAGAACAAGGAGTTCGAGGGGACTTTTATGACCGAAGCCAAGGACTGGGCCGGCGAGCTGATTTCCGGACAGACCACCACTGGACGTATCCTGGTGAGATTTTCTACTTTTTTTTTAAATGATTATTGTGCTTCTTGGCGCGACAGGACTGTGTTTGATCCATTACACTGATAAAAAATATATAATTACAATTATAAAAGGCACATATAATATACTGTGAATAGTATTTATACAGTAATTTGCAACGACCTATATTATACGCCCTGCATGCATTCTTTATCTATGAGCCGATTTAAAATTAAAGATTATTGCAACATTTAATAAATACTTGATAATTTTTAATATATTATTATTGAGAACGAAATGATTGGTATGCATAAAAAATAGAAATATTACACAAAGAAATAATAGTCTGTATTAATTTGAAATATAAAGAATTTTAACGAATATATTAGTTTTACTTGCTCTATCACTCAAGGATAAATACCAGTAATAAACACAAATATGATTTCCCGTGTTGATAGATACACTGTGGAATCTTTTAGTTTTAGAGTTCGTTACATATTCCTATGACTTTCAAGTCGTTTGACTAATATTTATTACATAGAAAACAATTCTGAAACCGCTACAAACAGAATAACATTTACGATCTATGTTAAACCTGTTTGACAATTTAATATAGCGATGTACAGTCATAAATTAATTTAATTTTACAACTGATAGCTAATAAAATAACAGGGAAATTTTTTTATCCATGTAATAATTTTTCGATTTAAAGTTTGCTCTCACAGCAAAGCTACATCTATCGAACTCGATATAATTCTTTCACTGAAATACTATTGAATTATGTTTGTAATCGGATTTCCAGAAAATTAAATACAATTCGGCTAAATAGGTCATTCGTTGAAGAAAGTACAAAACCGATTTCAAAGAAAATCCGATAAGAGTGCCGATTGGGAATGAAGAAGGGGGAGAGACGGGACAGAGGGACGTAGTGATTAAAACTGTTTCCGTGCAGATTCGTGCCAGTCACGAGACGCCATTACCGAAAATTCGGGTCGGCATTAAACTGTCGTTTAAATCTAATTCGGCTTTGAAAGTGTTCTCTCTTTCTCTCTCTTTCTCATTCTCTGTCTCAATCTCGATCCTGACTCTGCTGGACGATATCGCGGCAGGAATTTCGATATCGAGGACTCGCCCGCCCCCGGTTCGTACCACGCGCCGCGGTGCCCTACCCGGACGCACGAGGATTGACGTCGCGCATCCCGGACGTGCTACGGGGTGAGAACTGGTGGCGAAACGTGTATACACGTAGATTCGCGGCCACTTACACGTGTACGCGCGCGTGCGCGCACACGAGACGCCTAGCCTCGAGCTCGTACCGAGAGTACGAGTGTACGTGGCCGGTGACCCAGTTTTCGTTCGTGGAACCAGACACGGCAACGGTCCCGTAGGTGTAAAGGGGTGGCTTCTACGCAGTGCGTGTTCCACTTTGAAAGTGCATTTTCCTCGCCATCGTGTCCGGTTCGGGTTCCTTCTCGTTTCTCGCTGCTTCCGTCTTGGATCGCCTCTCGGAGGCGCGCTCGACGCGCGCTCGCGAATACATTTGCCCCTTGAACTTTGCACGGGTAGCCGCCCTCTGGTTGGCTACTCTTCTTACACCCTCGCCCCCTGGCTTCTGGTTGAATGCGTTAAGTCGGGCGGGAAGGCTGCGCGCAATTTACGAATGGCTTTATTCAAATTTTATAGTCAGGCGGTATGAGAAGCATCTCCGTCCTATCAGGAGCATAAATCGGGAGAACGGCTCGCGATTTACGGTCGCGATGTTACGCGTTAGGGTAATTTCGGCGGGATTGCGACGAAGAAATAACGCGACGCTCTTGTGGCTTCTGCTCCGCTCGCTGTGAAAAAAAAAAGAAAAAAAATTAGATCGTGCACTTGTTCCGTATTTTGCGATGACGCAGAGTTATCGATGTCGTGCCCTTGCGGAAACTTAGCCTACTCGTGGAGGCCGCGAGCCCGACGACAGATTGCAGTCGACCATGCGAGATCGAGTCGACGAAGTTCAGATTGCAATTACAATTCCGACTGTGAATAATAGGAACTTCGCTATATTGCCGATCTCGGATTTCAATCCCGGCCGACAGCAAGCCACCATCGATAGTACGATTTACTGATAACGAGGACATCGGCGAAACAATTTTAATATTCTCTATGATGAATAAGACGTTGTTTGTTTGGCGACCAGATTACAATGTGCTGCAACTCGAAATCACGAATGATATTGTAATAATCTCTGATCCGGAAATTGATTCTTCCTTTTGGATCTATCGACTTTAATCCTTAAATAAACTTTAATTACGTTTTTCGCCGAAACGTGCAACAGATTATATTATTAAAAATCTTCGTTTATATTTTTATGTAGTTACGAGAAAAATATATCATTTTATCTCTGAAGAAGATAAAAGATGATGAAATGACTGACTATGATGTCAATTCCTTTGTATCACTAAACAAGAAAAATTTCTAAATTTTTAAACTTCTAAAAATTTCAACTTAATAATATCAATAAACAGTTTTAAATAATACATGTTTCTTACATATGTATGTTTAGAGAAATTAATTTTTTCTAATCTTTCATTATTCTTGTAAAATTAGTTCTAAAATAAATAAAATTTCTAGATAAATAAAGATAGATCAATAAATAAAATTATTTAACATCTATTAGTAATTATCGTGTTAAGATGCGCTTGATGATTAATTAACAATCGGTTCCTGTCTGCAACGTGCTGGTCATTAGCCATATAAAATTAATGTGGTCAAATATTGCACAGGTTTTTTGCTGGTCAGCGAGCCTGCAACATTTTACATTTTTCACAACTCTGATGGAGAGGATTTACAGTTTGCCATAATAATAATGTTATCAAAAAAATTTATTAATTTTATAAATGACAAAGAAATTTGTAATCATAAAGACACATTTCTATTTTTTGAACGCAGTTTCCTCGCGATAAAAATTTTATTGACCAAGTTAATGTTGATTATTTTCACTTTTTCAGTTTACACTTTCTAATCTTCATTTACAAGTCAAGATGCAAAATAATATTACGCAAAGGAAAAGTACAAAGCAGAAAAAAGATAAGAAAAATCTACAAAGTTGTTTTCATGAAATGGGATTCAGGTCAAGCGATTTGTATATTAAAAACGTTGAAAAATGAAATATTGTTTCTTTACACAACGCTACAATTCATCAATAGATTAAATTTTTAATTTTTATGCAAAAATATCAGATGAGTGAGGAAAGTCATCTCGTTTTTAAAGATTGAATAATGAATTTTGAATGAGAAGAATGTTTTAAACCACACTGTTTTTATTTTCCGAAAGATCGCATATATTATACTACATTATTACTACGTTGACAGAATTTATGCGTTTTTTAACATTAGCGACAATTGGCTTTCGTGACGTAATCCACGGTATTTAAGATCGAGTACCATCATGGCTATACTATTCGTATGTTAATTAAGCAATCTAAATTTCGAGTGGCAAATACATATTCGGGAAAGTTTACTAGACGATGTAAACCCATATTATGGCATGATTTTTGGGAGTTGATTCCAGCATGTGCGCTGGCGCCATTGAAACTGAACTTGTATCGACCTTCGTGACCTCGGGTCGCACCGGGATTAGAAACAGCAGAGTTCTCGGCTTTATTCTAGCAGCAAGAAATTACAGAAATGCAAAGTATAATTCATGAAAAATTACGCCGTCTAAACGCGGTTCCCGTAGAGAATTGCTGTATAAATGTCATTTTTTAATATTTTTTGAGTTGATAGAATTTTAACCCCTGCAAATTTAGTTATGTGACATTTGCAAGTAAATTGAATAATTTCATTTTGAGGGACATTTAACATGCATGACATTTTATGATATTACTGCCATTTATAGAGTAATAATAGTGAAATGGAAGTAATAATAAAAAAAATACCTACGCTTTTAAAATACCTCAAAATAAATACGAAAAGATGTAACATATTTGGACTTAATATAACATCTTGATGTATTCCAATTCTGTAACATCTTGATGTATTCTTTTGATAGTTTATTAAGATTAAAATAAAGTTTAAGCGTAAGTATGCATAGTTTGATATGAGCAAAGTTATCGATTAAAATGCGAAATTATTTCTACCTTCTGAATATTTAATAAAGTCTTTGAATAAATAATGCAACGCAACGAAATTATGTAGATGCTAATTGATTAATTTTGATAGCCAATTAATTAAATTTATTTTCAACAACTTTATTTACAAAGTGCTTGATAAGAAGGATCAGAAAAAGCAGAATTTGGCAGACTACTCATACCAGCTTCTCGTTAACGATATTTATCTGTGTCACGTTCCATATTCGTTCATTTTTGCGTGATTATATCGAATTCTAGTTTTCTTGCGCGAAGGCTCATTATGCTTGCGAACGAAATGAAACATCGAGCTTTGATCCTCTTTGACGTATCAACTTCGGTTTTTTGGCTGTCGCGGGAAATAGTAAAATACGTATCTACCCGTTATTCCGAGCCAAAAACTTCTCGAATATTTAAACTTTCCCTCGATCGCCAACTTTTTATCTTGTTGGCTGAGCCCTATATTCATCGTCTGACGCGCCACAAGCGAGAAAATTTTTTAACTGATAAGTCCGGTTTAACGGGTTTTAAAACCCGTTAAACTGGACTTACCGGTTAAAAAATTTTTGTTTTTTTTTAACCGGACTTTCCTCAATAGTTCTCCCGGCGTTTATGCACACCATAAATGATAGTATGCGTGTGGAAAATATTGATAAGAATAGAATTTATATTGTCATAGCGTGGCACAACGCACGGACAAATAATCACGCAACAGACAACTGTATGAATTATGTATCCGCGATTTACGCGATGTACGATCTACTTCGTAGCTACGTTCTCCATTGTTTTTTTTTTATGTTAAGAGTTAATGTCTACGGTTATTACCCCAATTTGTGTATTCTGGTTGAGGCTTTATTTACCTACCTATTACAGAATGTGCGCCGCAAAGATTCGGACGAACAATGGACGCGAATAA